TGCAACTTCTAATAAGAGGAAATAGCAAGATTTGCAAGCTTCAATTCTTTTCCCCCCAGCACTTCAAGCAGTAGACAGGCAGTAACGAGTGTGCTTCCCCACGTTGGTTTTCTCTGTGAAGTCATTTACTCTGTAAATACGCGGCACACACTGGGAGATAAGGGCAATAACAGCAAGTATAGCACAGTAAGCACTGTGGTAGGAGGTGAAAAGGTATCCTGGAAACACAGAGGGATGGAAAAGGAAGGAAGGAGACCCAAATCTACAGAGCAGTACTAGGGACAAGATTTTACTGCACAGCCAGAATTTGCTAAGAGGACAATGATCCAGACAGCAAGGAAACAGCAAGTAAATACACATGGCTAATGTTCACTGAGTATCATTTTGAAGGCACACTGCTAATGCTTTACATATAGTATCTCATTTACTCACAAGACAATCACAAAAAAGTCATTTTGTTTTTAGGGATTTTCCTAGGGTCATTCAAATTCTCAGTACTGGACACCAGATGTGAGCTCTGCTTTTCTAAGTAAAAATTCCAAGGCTCAAGGGGTGTGGTGACTGGTGGCACTCACATGCAATCCCAGAACTCGGGAGGCTAAAGCAGGAGGACGGCAGATTCAAAGCCAGTCTAGGTATAATAAGACCAGCCTGGACTACATAGTGAGACCCCTATATCTAACAAACCCTCTCAACCCCCAATCTCCAGGGCTTATAAAAATACACTGTACAATTCCCATTTGATAGGAAGCAGACAGGAGAGAACGTGGCACAATGGGAAACATTCAATCAAAATGACTGAGCTATCTATAAATATTAAAGCTGATTAAAGCATTCCAACAGGTACAGGTTCTAATTTAAGAAGTGAAAGGTGAACATGGGCATTGAAAGTAAGCCTGGGTGTTATTTTCCATATATATGGCCTAGCTGAGAAAAAGTGTGTTAGCATATTTACAAATATAGTTGTACGTCACTCAAGGGACATGTTCTCAGAAATGCTATCGTTTGCAAGTTGTGTCATCATGCAAGTGTTAGTTGCCATACACAAACTAAGACGGTTACTAGGAAATTTAACGTATAGAACCCCTGCCACTTACGGAGTCTGGTAACTTGACATATGAATGTATTTGAAGGTGGGGAGTGGTAAGGCACACGTATCAGGCAGAGGATCACAGAGCACCTTGTATTTTTCCTCTTCCTAACAGAACCAAACTCATAAATGGTATACAGCTCATAAATGGCATAATTGTTGTCTGAACTTTCCGGTGTCTTACTTATTCTTTGTTCAATCCATTGCTGAAATCATTCTGACAAGGGCAGTACCAAGTATTTACAAAGTCTTCACTTTTCTGGAGTTGCCCACAGAAACTGACATTAGTGAATAGTGACTTCTTTCTGAACTGCCTTCCCATAATAGCACTCTTCTGTTCTCCTAATCTCCAAAATAATCTTTCATTCCTCTTTTTTTTTTCTTTCCGTGTAACAGGCCTTCACCTCAGTGCCTCAGGCCTTCCCTGAAGCTTTTTTTCCTCAAGGCTGTAGTTTTAGTGTTTGAGCCACACCTCCACTTCCTGTCTTTTTGCTGATAAATTGGAGATAAGTGTCTTGGATTTGGCTGCTCAGGCTGGCTTTGAAGGGCAATTCTCAGATCTCAGCCTCCTGACTGGCTAGGATTGCAGGCCTGTGTGAACCGCCAGTGCCCACCTCCCATCCTTTTCATATTAGAGCACACCAGAGATCTATCCTTGGCCCTTTTACATTCTCACTTTGCATTTTCACCATGGGCATTCCCACCACACTCAAGATTTCACCTATAACTCATATACTGCAGACTCTCAAATTCATACCCATAGTCTGGTATGGCATGAAGCTCCAAATGCTTACTGAGCATTCCCTGTGGGAGACTTGCAAACTCTTCAAAACTGAATCCACTAATACTCTGCTCCTTGATCAATCTTAAGAACATACTATTATTTATACAATTCAAAAACCTAAAACTCGTGTGATTACTGTTTTGTTCTGACACCAAATCCAAGAAAACGACATGACAACTCTACCATAGACTTTGCCCTGGCCCTACTACAGTGCATGTAGGACAAATGCAGCATCTTATTCCAAGATTAGGTCTACACAGAGTGAGGTAGACAATACAAAAAGTAGGCCAAAGTAAGTCAGGAGCTAAAGGATGTGCAGATTAAGACTTAGGAAAGCTCCTGGAAAGGAGATTCAAAGTCCAGTCCAGAGGCAAAATGCAAAGATGCCTTACAATCCTCATGGCTCTCAGAAGGAATACACACAATTCCACTCAAATGAAATTCAAAACCATGAAGAACAAATCTATAGTGATAGAAGCAGAAAAGTAGTTTCCCTTGGGAAAGGATACTGACAGAGAAAGAAAGGCTAAATTTCTGGAGCATTGGTAATATTCTATAATCTGCACTGGGATCTATGCAGTTAAATACATTTGCAAGAGGTAATCTATCTGTATACTTAAAAGTATGCAGACTTTATTAAATATGTTTTATACTCAATTTCAAAGTTAAAATAGTTTAGTGGAGAGCAGACCCTCCCTTCCCAATCACTGACCAGGCTGGGCTCATTTTACCTCTTTACTATCTCATTATCCCATCAGTTGCTGATACTGTAACCAGGACACCTGAATTACTGCATGTACTTCTTTAAACAAAACTATCTGGTAGTTTCCCTATTATCTTTAAATAGTCCAGGAAGAATCTTACTTTCACAAAGTAACATATACCAATTTAGACAAATGTTGTATGTTCATCCTTTGTATCTACTATAAACCTCCCTGCTTCTTAAATCCTTCCCCCCACACAACCCTAAGTACATCTTCAAATGCTTAGAGTAATCTAAATTCATCTAACTTCCTCTTTAACCTGTTCTTTTGGCATGGCAAACAGCTACTCTTTTACTTCCCAAAAGCGATTAGCAATAGCTTATAGTGTTCATCTATATGTAGGTAGTGGGAAATAAATTCTAAGAAATTCAATCAGATCCAAATATCAGAAACATCACACTAGGGCTGGTGAACTGGTTCAAGCATTAGAACACCAGCCCAACCAGTGTGAGGTTCTAAAATCAAACATCAATTACCCCCCTCCCCCCCCCCACACAATGTTATTTAACTTATTTATCATCTGCTTGTCAATCCAATAGACTGTCAGAACCACTAGAACTTATTTTATTTACTAGTACGTCCTAGTACACAGAATAGTACCTTCAATAGGTAGGTTCTCGGTAAGTACAGAGCTTAGGTATTTTTAACAGACCTTTAAAAGTCATTGGCTTTGTACAATTACATAACAATTTTTTTCAAGTGCACAGAACTACTAAGGATCTTCTGCAAGCAGAAAGTTGTGAGAATTCCATCAAATTATTTACCAGAAATAATCATCACTAGGATTCAGATTTTCATTTTCGTATATCAGACACTTTGCCACAAATTCTAAACTCATTCAAAAGCAAAGCCAATGAATGAAGCAGTTAACATGTTTTGCTGCTAGATGAAAGAGCTCTATTTAATGAACTATGTATGTAGCCAGCTGTTTAGTATTCCCTTGCACGACGCTGCTCTTCCAGTAAAACAAGACACAGTACTTACCACAGCACGCACTACTAGCAACTATAACTGCACAGTTTAGCTTTAAAATATCAATTTCAAACTAGGTAATTATGCCATAAAAAGTAGGATTTGCCATTAATTCACTCATTTAGCCTAAGTAATGTTTAAAAGTAAAACCAGCAGTCTACATCATAAACCTTGCAAATTACCTAATGATATAAAAACTCTGGGGGAATTCTACTTTTCAAATTGATTGCTTTCACTTGGCTCGCAGTAACTCCAAGTCATCACTGGGAAATTTAAGACACATGAGATTACAACTGCAAAGAGAAAAGTGGTAAATTTTGCCTAGCTCAATGCACAGTTCAGGACCTCCAATAACAAATTTTGACCTATTATAGCTTTGGTGATAGCTTAAAAAAAAAATGTCATGTCCCAAAAGTTGGGCCCAAAGTTCCTGAAACTTAAGTAAATGAAGCACTGTAAAACTGAAACTCAAGTGACAGAGAGAACTATATCAATTACTGTAATTTAAAATAAGACAACCCATTCACCCTGGCGTTGCATTTTATCTTGGTTTAGGAAACACACAACTGGATGTAGAAACTTTACCAGGAAACTTCTCTAGCAAATCGCCTCTCCAAAAACTCCAAGTAGGGGCTGGGAAGGTGGCTCAGTGGTAGAGCGCTTCCCTTGCATGCATGAGGCCCTGGGTTCGATTCCTCAGCACCACATAAGCAGAAAAAGCCGGAAGTGGCGCTGTGGCTCAAAAGGTAGAGCGCTTGAGGGTCAGCGTTCAGGCCCCAAGACTGACACAAAAACAAAACAAAAACCTCCGAATACTCTGTAAAGGAGACTCCAATTGACTTAACAGGTTTTTGTTATCTGCCTGAAAACACACTGTTTTAGGCAAACGAAAACAGCTGGTGCTATTACAGCTACGGGGAAAAAAGAAACTGGTATCCAATCATCAAGTCCTGTAAGCTTTCCACTCAACTGACAGTATGGGAGGACCCGAAGAGGAGGAGCACGAGGCACTGCAGACTGCAGGCGAGAGCTGTGAAGGGACTGGAAAACTTCTTTCTTAATCTTTTTTTTTTTTTGGGGGGGGGGAGTTGTTCTAAACTCCAGTACGGGGTCAGTTACCTTTGACACGACTGACCATGTCTACTCGGACAAACTTCCCGAGTTCACATTCTGGCCTAACTCGGGCCGGTGCGGGCAAACGCCGGCAGGAACGGGGGCCGCCCAGCCGCCCGCGCCCCGCGCCCCGCGGACCCGGCAGGTGCCAGCTCCCGCGAAGCCCGCGACAGCCGCCGGCGGGTTCCGGACCCAGCCCGGGCCGCACGTCGGGGGTCACCCTCTCCCCCCCCCACCCCGCCCCACACTCCCTCCGGGTCCTCCCGGGGTTTCTCACCTCAGGCGTCCGCTCCGGCGGCTTCTTCCTCAGCGCCTGCCGAGCGCCAGGGTCCACGGGCGAGTTCATGGCCGCCCCCCCTCCCGCCCTCCCCCCGCCCAACCTTCCTACGCTTTCCCCCTAGCAGCTCACCGGACAGCCCATTTCACCTCACGTCGGGGGTGTGCCCTCCCAAGAAAGGCAGGGAACCCCGAGCTGTCCCGAGATTTAAGACACACGCACTCACACAACACACAACCTCCGAGCAAACAAACTCTTCGCACCGCCCGCCCGGGGCCCTCAGCCCACGCGCGACTGGCTACAGAGAAGCCCGCGCGCGCTGGGGCAAGGGGGGGGGGGGGGAAACGGAGGTGGGGCGAGTGCGCAGGCGCGCGCGCGTGTGTGAGCACGCCAACGAGCGCCGGCGGGTGACGTAAGCACTGGGGCGGGGGCAGTGAAGATCTTTTCCAGCCCTTTTTCGCGGTGGGTTTTAAGACGCATCGCGAGACTTTGCGCCTTCGACCTCGGCCGTGGGGAGACTGACTCAGAGTTGTGGCTTCCGCCTCGGCAGCTTCCGGTAGTCGGAGGGAGAGGCGCGGGGGAGGGCCGGAAACGCCCAGAAAGGGAAAGAACTGTAGGCAAATGCGGAAGCGGGCCTGAGCGTCGCCCTCTCACACTGTGACCCCCGGATCTTGCTTGGAAGGTGGACGGAGCGGAAGCTGCCATTTGGCTAAGCGGGGAAGTCCACGCGCTGGGCTCCCTAGGTCTGTCAATAAAACGGAATTTTAGCCGGGCGCTGGTGGCTCACGCCTGTCATCCTAGCTGCTCAGGAAGCCGGGATCTGAGGATCCAGGTTCAAAGCCAGCCCGGGCAGGAAAGTCCGTGTGATTCCAACAGAAAACCAGACGTAGAGCGCTAGCTAGCCTTGAGCACAGGAAGTGGGGCGCCCTCAAGGCCTTGAGTGCAAGCCCCCGCCCCGTCTTGTGAGACTCCTTTTCTTGGGGAATACTCTGAAATTTCAAAGACCCATGATTATTGTGTGGGAACTGGGAAGCTCCCACGACATTAAGACAGGGCTCCAGAGTGGATGCTTTCACACTGACTGCCTTTTACAGTCCAGTTGTTGTTTTTGTTGGTCGGTCATGGGGCTTGAACTCAGGGCCTAGGCGCTGTCCCTGACCTCTTCTTCGCTCCAGGTTAGCATTCTACCACTTTGAGCCACTTCCGGTTTCCTGGTGGTTCACTGGGTGGTAAAAGAGTCTCCATGGACTTTCCTGCCTGGGTTGGCTTTTAACTGTGATTCTCAGATCTCAGCCTCCTGAGTAGCCAGGATGACAGGCGTGAACCACCACAGCTAGTTTTGTTTTTAACTAAGCATAAGCCAGTTTCCATTCATTAACCGGTCTTTGTAAAACTGTACGGAGTAGCCTGAGCATTACAGGGGCATTTTCCACAGTAAAGGTCACAGACAAGCATTCTAGAGCCTTTAATCAGTTTCTGAAGGTGAAATCGAGCAGACCTTTACTCAGGTTCTCATTGGTATGCAGGTGGACTGCATTAGTCACTCAGTTCCTCACTTGCCACCATCATGGGTGGTGTCCTTTACACTGAAAAACTCCTTGAAGGCTGTGACCACATCTAAGTCTTAGTATTTTCACAGCAATTTGCATAGTTAACTAAATAATTCAAGAGCGATGATGATGGCATGCTTTTCAAAGAGTAACTGATTCACAGTGACTTTCTGATGACCTGGTCATGTTTCAAATTGTATATTCAGAGTAATCAAAAGAAATGAGCTCAGGCTACACATTTTAGAGAGATGACAGCTGATGTGTTTTTTTGTTGGTTCCGAGTTTGTCCAGACTTGAAGTTTACAGCATGCTATATTGGCACATCTTTTTTGGAAGATTTTTAGGAAAACAAAATGTATCACAGAAGTTGAGGCTTATTTATTACAAAAATATAGTTAAGTACAAAAAAGGGCTGAGAATATGACTTAGTGGTAGAGTGCTTGCCTAGCATACACGAAGCCCTGAGTTTGATTCCTCAGCACCACATAAACAGGAAAAGCCCAAAGTGGCCCTGTGGCTCAAGTGGTAGAGTGCTAGCCTTGAGCAAAAGAGGAGAAGAGACACTGCCCAGGCCCTGAGTTCAAGTCCTAGGACTGGCAGGAAAAAAAGTACAAAAAATAACGAAAAATCCTAAGATGTTTTGAAAACCCACTTTCCCATCATTTCTTTGTCTAGACAATAGTTATCTAGAATGTGCCCAGTCTGCATTACAGAGCAATGAGAGAAGATATGGTCCCCTCACTCTTTTCTATCTGCCTGACCCCTTCCCACACTCAGCTAAAATCACTCAACTTCCATTGCACCTTCAGCTCAGGTTTGGTGTCACTGGCCACTTCACCCCCACCTTCTCCATTGGCAAAGACAAAATGATGAAATTCCGGATATCTTTACATCTGTCACCATGACTAGTTGGGAAATCACTCTGCCTGAGAGAGAACAACACTGACTCCATAGGAAAGACTGTATGACTTCAGATGATCATGTTAAATTCTCTGTATCCATTTTTCTTTAGAAAAATCAGTACTCCAATGCTTCTCAGAAATGGTACAGATTTCCCTAAGTTGGTAAGTGTGAACAGTCCTAAAATAACGGTTGGCTGTTTTGTAAACATTTGATACTTCCTCTCTGCTTTCAAAACAGTAGTCTACAAGCAGCCCACTCTGGGTTAAATCATTGCTACAGAAACAGGCAGGAAGAATGGATGGAAGAGCTGATTTCCCTACAATGCAGATGGACTTTTCTGAGTCATGTATGGGTCAACCAGTGAGCAAACCCTGGGTACCAGGGGATCATTCTGCTATTCTTGTTAAGTCAAGTCTATGGTAATCTGTTTTGGGTACAGTGTTCTTAACACCTTTACATGGCTTCTTTTCCTCTAGGTTTAGTATGCTTGGGTTTAGTTTGCATTTGAAGATATTTTCACTTTATCATTGTGAGGCACAGGGTCAATACATACATACCTGTATTTTTCTTTGCTGTTTTTATTTATAAGACTGTATGTTTAGGGGGCTGGGAAGGTGGTTCAGTGGTAGAGCGCTTGCTTGCCTTGCATGCTTGAGGCACCACATAAGCAGAAAAAAAAAGCCGAAAGTGGTGTTGTGGCTCAAGTGGTAGAGTTCTAGCCTTGAGCTGAAGAGCTGAGGGTCAGCGCCCAGGCCCAGAGTTCAGACCCCACAACTGAACCCAAAAAAAAAAAGATTATATATTTAAAAATTCTCCCTAGCCCGGTGCTGATGGCTCACACCTGTAATCCTAGCTACTCAGGAGCTGAGATCTGAGGACTATGTTTCAAAGCCAGTCCAGGCAGGAATGTCCGTAAGACTCTTATCTCCAATTAACCACCATAAAACTGGAAATGGTAGAGCTTTTGCCTTGAGTTGAAGAGCTCAGAGACAGCACCCAGAGGTCAAGCTCCACAACTGAAAAAAAAAAAAAAAAAAGCTCCCAACAATATGTGGGGACCACTGGGTTAAAGCTTAACAGATTACCAGGTAATCCTAGCAGCCAAAAAGTTATTGAGTCTTTGGGGCGTGCTAACACTGAACTAAATTTCTGTCATTCACTATATCTCATTAAGTAGATGTTAGCAATGTGTGGAAGATCACATGCCTAGAAAGGCTAAACCTGGGTGAAGAATCCAGGTGGTCTGACATCTGCGTTCATAAAGTTAGAAAGACATATATGAAAGAAAGAGCAATATGACACATCAAATTGACATGTGTTTATTGCACAAATTTCCCCTAGAACCGGGAGGGCATTATAATACAAGTGTGCATTTGAGAAATGTATTCAGAACAAAGAACAAGTATGTACATTTTACATATCTACCATCTAAATAACTTAGAGAAAGCAGAAAATCTCCTAAGACATCTACCAGAAGTAGGCATTAGGTAAAGTTTGACTTTTTTAGTGACCATCCAATCAATTGGATGTCAACTGCAACAAAATGAAATCAACTAGTATGTTTATTGCACTTAATATTTTCAAACTCAAAATTAAGACATTAATAAATGCTAAGATGCTTAAAATCAAACCAATTAGTTTATATGTATGAGAAATTAGTTTTAATTCTGTAATATAAAACATCCCTTTTTTCATTTCCTGTTCCAATAAACAGGTGTTTTGATATGTAACACATTTGTCTGTACCATAAGAAGTTGGAAAAATTATTCTGAATAGGTCAAAACCCTTTTCACATTCATCATAATAACCACACTTTAAAAGAAGTAGCAGCTCATTCTTTGGGCTTTGTATAAGGAAAGAATGATTATGATGAAAGTACTAGAAATTACAGATGGTTAAGAATTATAAAACTCAGGAATCCTATAAGGATTAATGATTCTTTAAAAAAAACAAACAGCTATACCTTTTCCTTTTGCAGCTAAGCTTAGTTTTTAGGATAAAAGTAGCATGAACCATATATTTATGAAGACTAGTATTGCTAAATGGTAATTAGATGTTTTAAATAGATAGGGCTGAGAATAGCTTAAGAAACAGACATTATCTCCCTGCTACATAATCTGAGCCACAATTTAAAAAATATAATATATAATGGCCCTTCAAACTTTTCTAGATTACAAATTCTACCAAAGAGATTTATTCACTGAATTCCAAAAGTAGACAACAGAAGAATTTCATTAAATGAAGGAATAAGAAAAATAAGCCAAAGAAAATATATCCAGGGAGACAGGTGCCTGGCTAATGGGATGCAGGCTGAACTGCAAGCACAATAGTTTTCAGCTTACAATCCATTAAAACAACCCTATCTTCTTTGTCTAGTTGGAAGTCTCTTGAATAAACAAAGAACAAAGCAAAGAAAATGGCACAGCACTCTAAAATCAACATTTTGAAGACTAACCCAGAGAAATTTTCCATTAATTATTAAAAACTGAAATAGCAAGAATGGATGTGAAATAGTAACTAAATGTATTTAGTAGCTGAATATGCAAGTGGTTTTTCCTTTTTGTAGCCCATCAATTATGATGAAAAGTCAATGAAAGATAAACGAACTCTACTTCTAGCATTAAATGTATCCTTAGACCACATAAGCAAAGAATAAACTATAATGCAGTATTCAAGTAAACTGAGGTAGTAGAGCATATTGAAAACTTTATCTACCCACCTTTCTATTTACATTACTTACAAGAGTTTGGTTCCTTATTAGCCTTTCTTACAAGCAACATTTCACAGTATATACAAAGAGAACAATTAAAAAGTGGAAATCTTTGAAAAAATCTGCTTTTAGAAGGGAGGAGCTCTTAGTGAAAAGAGGATAATT